TTTATTCCCTTTTTCTCAAATACTTGAACAAAAATGAATGATTTATGATGATTTCATGTGGAATCCCATTTTATGACTCTTAGAACGAAAATGAGAGTTTTATCCATTAAAATCACATTTTATGAGATGATTAAATACTATTTACGTGCAATAACGTTTAGAATATGATGTAAATGATAAGAACGAAACGGACTTATCATTTTGATAATTGCCTAACCGCCGTGGATATAAAGAGTTTCGTTGAATAACTCAAGGCGTGAAGAATGGCTTGGAACAAGACCTAAAAGACTCAAGGACAAGATCAGGAATTGAAGACTTAGTCGAGTCGGTCTTTTGTGATCAAAACCGACAATATATTCAAGTCTCGGTTCTCAAAAAGTCAAAACAATTTTTACAAACCATAAAATATTTTTTGTGCATCAAAAAAAACATTTTTGATGATTTCTTTTATTGTTAAAATCCCTGGTCCTTGCTCAGAACCAAAACCACCTAAGTCGGCGTTCGGCTTTCGACGTTTGGCTTTCGGCGTTCGGTTTTTGGCGCCCGAACAAACTTCGTGGTTTTCAATATTTTTAAACCCTGTTTTTACCTCTGAGCATTTTTAAAATGTTCCCAAATAATTATTTTATAAAAACCACTTTTGTATCTTGGTCAATCGGTCTAACACGTGAAAAACGGTCTAAACCGCACGTACGTATTATACGACCTTGGAGACTTGGTTTTTACCAAACAAGTCTTGTTTTCACTATTTAATACCATATACAATATTTTCCAAACCTGGTTTTTACTTTTGGGAACACTTCGTTTTTGGACCTCGGTTTTTCAAAACGGGTTTCAGCTGGCTAGACTTTAGCTGGGTGATAATCGATTATCACCTTAGTGACAATCGACTATCAGCCCCTGCAGCTTTGAACTTCCAAAGTTCTGAAGCACGCAATAATCAATTATCAGCTTTGCAATAATCGATTATCAGTCTTTGCAGCCAAAACCCAGAATCTTCTAAGAGGACCAATAATCAATTATCACTTGTTGACAATCGATTATCTGGGTTACCGTTGTCCTCCAACGGATAGAATTTTAAATTTTTGGATAGGGAATCTTTGGATAATCGATTATCATGCTTTGACAATCGACTATCAGCCTGTGTCCCTGAAAAATTTGTCTTCATCTGTTGGAAATTCTAGCAACGGGTTTATCCCATTTTGGGTTATAAAATGGCACCCAAATCCTCTCATTTCATACACAATTCTTCAACATTTCAATACTCCTTCATTGCATAAGCATTCCTATTTTTCTTAGCTATTTGAGAGCCAATTCTTGAAGAAATTATCGTGTTCTTGAGCGTTTACTAGTTCACTCATATCTACTCTTTGTGAGAGTTTTATTCGTGAGTGTTTAAGTGTTTTCATACACTTTAAGGGAGGTTGTTCCCTTGTTGTAAACTCGAAGGAAATTACTTGTTCCTTCGTGAGAATTCTTGGAGAGCGGTATCTCCGAGCAAAGGTGTTGAGGCTCGTGTGACTCGGGTTCTCAAGTTGTATCGGTTTGTTAAGCACCCTTAAGCTTAACGGAGTTAGTGTAGCTCGAGAGAGTCTTTCGGGGGGGCTGGATTAGCCACACGCTGTGGTGAACCAGGATAAAACTCGGTGTGCTCCTTCCTTACGCTCTTTACTTTAACGCACTCGTTTTTAATTTCCTGCGATTTTATTTTAAACGCTATTCACCCCCCCTCTAGCGTTGTGCCTTTATTCTAACAATTGGTATCAGAGCCATACTCTCTGAAAGAATTAACCGTTTGAGAGAAACGATCAATAGCTTCTACTCAAAGTTCATACGCAGGTTTAGGTGAAGGGCAATCCACCACGAGGCCTCCATTATTTGACGGAACAAACTACACCTATTGGAAGGAGCGGATGAGGATTTACATCCAATCCACCAACTTTCTCCTTTGGAGAATTATCAAAAATGGTGAGAACGTGCCAATGAAGAAGGTCGAGGAAACCAACGTCCCTAAGACCGAGGATGAATATGATGCGCAAGACATCAAGAAGGTGGAAAACAATGCCAAGGCCATCAACATCATCTATTGTGCCGTTAACCCGGATGACTACCGGAAGATTTCTTGTTGCACCACCGCAAAGGAAATGTGGGACAAACTAGAAATCACCTACGAAGGTACGGATCAAGTCCGAGAAGCTAAAATTGATTTTCTAACCCATGAATATGAATTGTTTCGTATGAAGGAAAACGAGAAAATCGATGAGATGTTTGAACGATTCTCCAAAATCGTCAATGATCTTCATGCTCT